GATCACAAGATTTAACAAAATAGACCTTATTATTAATTTATTACCAAACAGAAAACAATAAACTCGCGGAAAAGATGGTATACCGCAAACATGAGGTGCAAAATTTGTACACCATATCCGGATTTCGAAAATTAATGTCTCTTCAGTGATGTTAGGAATCGAAACGGTATTTGGAAGGCCATATAATTTACCTCAATTTAGGATAGACTCTTGAATTTTGAAAGAGTCAAAATAGGATGAACGGATCATATAAACCCGAAGGCAAATATAATACAAGCCCAAACGAAAAAATATGAACAAGTCTTAATTGAAAACAACGTTCAAACCTATGATTGCGTTGGATAAAAACCGCAATTTTTATACGTGTGCATGCAAAACAAATGTCTTGGTAGAGGGGTCTAAATACAGCACAAACAACATTTTCCAAAAGACCAAATGAGTGAAAAAAGTATATTTTAACAAAACGCATTTGACTAGCAGGTCGAACAACTGATGTTCTTAGACCCTGCTGACTGCCATTGGCGATTGCCAAATAAACGGATCACAAGATGTAACGAAATAGATCGTATTATTAATTTATTACCAAACAGAAAACAACAAACGTGCGGAAAAGATGGTATACCGCAAACATGAGGTGCAAAATTTGTACACCATATCCGGATTTCGACAATTAATGTCTCTTCAGTGATGTTAGGAATCGAAACGGTATTTGGAAGGCCATATAATTTACCTCAATTTAGGATAGACTCAATCGCCAATGGCAGTCATATCAGAACTATTCCTTATCCTGACTCTTGCTGAAAAATTCAACACACCTTTAATTGCATATTAGAGCGCACTGGTTTCCGGAAGTTAGGTAGTACAAGAACAGGTACTTCTGGTCTGAGCACGGAGAGGCAAAAGATACCTAAGGGGCGATTAAATTCACAAGTCGAAAATAAACTGACAACGCCATGGCAAAAAAAGAAAACACGAAAAGGCAAACAACAGTATACAAAACACAACATAGAAAACTAAACACTGGGCAACACAAACCCCGCAAAAAAATCGTGGGTGATCTCAGGTGCCCCGGAAGGGTAAGCAGATCCTGCTAGACATGCGACTATGTCCTTCTATTCTAATTTCGTGTATTTTTTTATGGTTAAAAATCAACAAGAAAATTTCAACAAGGGTTCTACAGTGATCCCAAGTCATTAACCTTTCATTTGATACCAAAATTACCCAAATATTTTACTTATTGACAAAGTTACAGCGATGCGTAGAAACTATTTTGTTTAAAACATGTACTACTTTCTTTAACACCGGCAGTCACTTTTGATTAGGAGGAACACCACTAATTAATATGAGGCTGACTTCATACAGGAACTTCTTAGGAACAAAAGAAAAGAAGTTATCAGTATCCTTTAACTTTACTTTCCGCTATAAAGATGATGTTCTCTCACTAAATAATTCAAAATTTTGTAACTATGTTGAACGCATCTATCCATCGAACTTGAGATAAACGGTACACCAGATACAATTAAGTCTGCCTCATATCATTTGAAAACAAAACTTTACGACAAAAGAGATGATTTCAGCTTCCCAATTGTGAACTTTCCATTTCTATGTAGCAACATTCCTGCATACGGAGTATATATCTCCCAGTTGATACGATATTCCAGGGCTTGTATTTCCTATCATGATTTCCTTGATAGAGGGTGGTGCTGCTCACAAGGAAGCTATTAAACCAAGAGTTCCGAGTGGTGAAGTTGAAATCACCCCTTCGTAATTTTTACGGACGCCATCACGAGTTGGTTGACCATTATGGAATATCCGATTCACAATCCCGTCCCCTTTTTCCGAATGTGACCTACCGAATTAGACTTATAACCGGGTTTAAACTAACATGAGCAACACGACGGGTGCCACATGTGGAGCAGGATCTGCTTACCCTCCCGGAGCACCTGAGATCACCCCCAGTTTTTGGTGGGGTTCGAGTTGCTCAGTCTTTAGTTTTCTATGTTGTGTTTTATGTACTATTATTTGTCTGTTGGTCTTTTTCTTTTTTAGCCATGGCGTTGTCATTTTATTTTCGACTTATGAGTTTGAATGTCCCTCTGGTATCTTTCGCCTCTCTTTTACAACCACTGGGTCGATGTCTTTGATGGTGGACATTTTGTTCCCGAGGACATCATCCGCCCAGTAGCATAATATGCTACCATAATATGCTTAAATTAACGAAGATCAAACAGAATACTGACTCGGACGTCGCCCAATATAAAAAGGTCCGATACAGACGTCACCATGGACACGGTGTAGTCTGGTATGGCAGGTGTCCCCTCATCACCAGACATGACAAATATCCCTAACATGACACATTCAGATCATCTTACTAATAACAACATCAATAATCTACCTATGCAGCCGTGGTCAGTTCTTCTACAAGGCTTCAACATCGTTTCGATAAAAAAAAAGAAAAAAAAGAGGGAAAGTGAGAGTGAGAGTGGAGATGGAAAAGAGAGAAGGAGGATGAGAAATGGACGCTGTGCGGTTAAATAAAAAAGTTGTTGAAGTCAACGTCATCATTTCTTAGACTACCGTTCGTTCCCATCCCCTGCGCCTTTTTATATTGTGTCTGCGGGGTGGTTTGCTTAGTTACAATGCAACGCAGAATTGACAATTTCTTTACTCATAAGAATTTTGATAGTACCCTTTCATCTGACAGTACAGATACACAAGCACTATACAAGACGATTCCTCAATGAGGAAGCCAGAAAGTCAAACAAGCAGTAACAATGACTTCGCGTCCAGTTCAACATCATCCCCTAATGTAGCGCAATATTTGATTCCGTCAAAATTAGAAAGATGCTCTGTACAAGTTGTGGGCCGTCTTTCCAACACATTTGCGGATGATTTTCCATCTGACCATGATAATTTTAACATCGAAGTAGAAAGGTGGAAAGCACGATGGACTAAAGCAGAGGGACAGATCCCTGGTACTCTTGCAGAAAGCTTGAATTTGACCAATTTTGACCTATATCCAAACATTTTCATTTGTTTGCTCATTCTTTTGACAATGCCAGCGACCAGTGCCACGGCTGAACGCAATTTCAATGTCATACACTGGGTTAAAACATATCTGCGTTCTACGATGACAACAGAACGACTTTCGGGTCTGTATCTTCAAGCAGAAATTAACAACTATAGGTCACCGTACGGCCTTCAACAATGAACAAAGCCCATACCGCATAGTCAGTGAGTTTGTATTTTTTAATTTATTTAATAAAACAAGACAGTTTTTTTTAGTTTATTCACTGACAAACATGGTAGGAAACTTATAATCATGCATAATGTTGTCATGAATTATTCTCAGCTTTTACACGATGTTTGCTTATTACAGTCAAAGGCAAGTGTGAGCCATCACCTATATATACATTCGTTCGTCTGTTTTCATTTAGTTGACCTCGTAAGTTGTTTTCTGCTGCCTATCAGTACGTACCCACTTAAACTTGATATATTGTTTATATTTTATCTCCAAACAATTTATAATGTGGTGGTTTTTATTATACTGGTCTTAGTCAATATGACTATTTTTTACCCCTCTGGAATCCCCTGGCTTTTACAGTTTCTTGGCGGAAAAATGTATAATTTTTCACAAAATATGTGACTTGTATCAATCAAAAATGCTTTTGACTCGACCTTAATATTCAATATTTTCAGTTCATATTTGTGGGTCTAAAACCCTAAAATCCAGGAGCATTAAGCTGGACCCACTGGTGGCCTTAAGCCTTAAGCAACCCTCAGACCCCCTGCCGAAATTGGGCTTTACCTTCGAAATATGTCCAGCTACGCCACTGGAAAATGTCTTTTTATAATTGAACACTTTTAAATTGTAAAACGGTTGTTTCTACAGAACATTTTTCACCCCGTATAAACCCGGTACAAATGAATCCGGATGTTGACGCGTTCGAAGCGATAATCAGGACAACATTTGGGATGACAACAATTGCGAATGCCTTTCTAGAACTTACGCGAGTATATATCAATGCGTACATGGACATGGTAGTTTATCTAATCAATTATGTCAGTTTATTTTCGATCTTTGAGTTTACTGTCCCTCTGGTATCTTGGTATCTTTCGCCCCTCTTTTATGAATGTGTTGCAAGTTTTAGATTTTGTATAGAACGTTTAATAAAACTGCGTACTATCAAAAAATGACAGAAACGTCGTTATTTGCCTGATTTTAACAGCATTTTAAGACTTTAATTAAATCTGTTGACTCATTAAGTCAATTCAAATGGCATTGGTATCCCAGTGGTTGTAAATACACTCATCATAAATACCAGGATGATTAAAATTGTATACGGCAGACGCGCGTTTCGTCTACAACAGACTCATCAGACAGCAACGTTCGAATCAAAAAAGTTAAGAAGGCTAAATAAAGTACGAAGTTGAAGAGCATTGAGGACCCAAATTCCGAAAAGTTTTGTCAAATACAGCTAAGGTAATCTATTCCTGGTGTAGATAATCCAAATTTAAAGTTTTGTAAACAGTTAATCTATAATTTTAGATTTCATAAGCACACGAAGTGTGCGTAATGGAATCCTAATTTTATGAATAACCGAAGACAAGATATGAAAGTCCCTTGGCCGTCGATAGATGGCAACACCGTAGCCCTTTAAAAGCTTTGTTCCAAAGATTTGGTTTCATTCTCCAACTTGGCGAGCTTAAGTATCACCAACTGAAGAAGATTTGAATTACTCTAAACTATATAACCATAGTTGTCTATGCAAAATAAAATAAATACTATAATAAGAAAGTACAAAACTTTATATACATGTAACTAATAAGTTTACATTTTGAACAGGTATAAAACAGTGTACATTGACAAATAAATGTAACAGTCAGTGTCTTTTGGCACGTCAGTGTCTTTTGGCACAACAAACAATGGCAGGAATATGTTTTAAAATAGCAACCAGATCTTGATCTTTTGTATAATGAAATCCACCAACGGAAATTTCTTATCTGAAAATAAAATTGAATTTTATAAGAAATATATCCAACCGAAGACAAGCAGTGTAAGATTATAAATGTTTATACATATTTTTATGAATAATGCGCCCTATAAAATTACACTTAGGGAAGGGAGGGCGGGAACACTTTCATATCTTGTCTTCGGTTATTCATAAAATTAGGATTCCATTACGCACACTTCGTGTGCTTATGAAATCTAAAATTTTATTTCATAACCTCCGACAAGATATTCTAGTGTTTAGTTTAAAGCTTCATGATAATATATATTTATTACCTGATTAAAACTGCTTTTTGAAAGTCACTTCCTGCCAGTGGTTTATAATAAAATCTTGAAAAAGTTGTGAGGTTTGACCATCTAGCTTGTTTCATGATTTCTGATGATGACATACCAGCTCTGAAAGCTTTAGATGTACAAGCTGATCTTGTTGAATGAGCTTTATAATTTGTTGTATCAATGCCTGCTGAGGATATGACTGATTTTAACCATCGAGCTAATGTACTAGTGGTTACAGGATGATGAGGTTTTACAAAACTTAATAACAACCAATTTCTATTTAATCTATCATTGGTATCCCTGATTTTTTCAGTAAGTTCTAAATACTTTCTTAAACATTCTACGACACAAAGATTATTATCTTCAAATTTATAAAACTTTAATTCTGGTTTTGTTTTACCTGGCCTACATGTTTTAGTGAGGGAAGGTATTTGGAAAATAATGTGATCACCTTTATCACACATGAAATCTAAATTTAATTTATGAATTTCAGAAACCCTCCCTGCAGATGTTAAAGCAAGTAACATTGTCAACTTTTGAACTAATATTTTCATGGACAGGGAGGAATTGTCACCCCATTCTGTGATACAATTAAGAACTTTGTCAACATCCCAAGATGATTGATATCTTGGTAAAGGTGTTCTAACATTGAATATCGCCCTCATATGATGGATTATAGCTGGATGCTTGCCCACTGAAATACTATTCAATAAGTTATGACCTCTGGAAATTGCAGAGCGATATGTGTTAATAGAGCGATATTGTTTTTGCTCATTGAATAGTGTTGTTAAAAATTCTATTATATTTTCCACAGATGTCTGAATAGGATTAATTTGCCTAGAATTACACCAGCTAGACCATCGTTTCCAGGCGCTTTTGTAAGAAGCTCTGGTACCAGGTCTCCATGCTTTGGAGTATAATTCTGCAGCTGCTTTTGATAAATTTGCTGTAATTGTGTGTCCCCCGATACCTTCCAAGCTGCCAGATGAAAGGTCCCTGACTGGGCCAGTGGATGGAATTGACCCGTCGATGATCGAAGGATCTGAGGAAAACTGGGTAGACGGATTGGGTCTGCAATCGTCATCATTAAAAGCATGGGATACCATGGCTGAGCTTGCCAAATTGGTGTGATTAAAATAGTTGTTGCTTTTTCTTTTTGTATTTTTGCCAAACATCGCCCTATTATGCAAAATGGAGGAAAAGCGAAGCCTTTTAGATTTGTCCAAATTAGAGAGAAAGCATCTGTAGCCACAGCATTTGGGTCTGGTCGCCAACTGACGTACCTTTCTACTTGATAATTTAAGCGACTTGCAAACAAGTCTATTTCGCAATTGCCTAGGGCTTTTATTACTCGGGAAAATATGTCTCTGTCCAGCATCCAATCGGATGTGTCTGACGTATTCCTGGATTCCCAGTCTGCAAGGTGATTTAACTTGCCTGGGAGATGCTCTGCTGTTAGAGTAATCTCCCTTTCTTTGCACCACATCCAAATTTCTTTCACCATCTGTATTAAGGTGCCTGATTTTGTGCCCCCCATTTTGTTTATATATGCTACTGCTGTAGTGTTGTCTACTCTCATATGAACACTAAACATTTTGCAGATTTGGTGAATACTTTTAGCCCTAATAATGCCGCTAAGAGTTCTTTTAAGTTTATGTGATACTCTAATTCTTGGAGACCCCATAGTCCCCCAGTACTTATATTTCCGCAAACAGCCCCCCAACCTTTGTTTGAAGCATCTGTGGTTATAACCATATCTGGGGTGGCCGATATGATAGCCCGACCGTTTGATTGATCGATCTGGTTTATCCACCATCCCAATTCTTCTTGGGGCCCCTTTTGAAAGTTGTATTTTTGTTTCGTAAGATTTGCCATCTACCAACGATTTTATTTGTAATAACTGCAGGTATCTGCATTGTAGATTTGCTGGATTTATAGCTTGCATTGTTGAAACTAGTTTGCCTGTTATTTTTGCCAATTGTCTTACAGTTACCCATTGAAGGTTTAGAATTTCTTAGGCATTCTTGTTTTATCTTGACAACTTTTTCTTGGGGAAGTGTGAATAACATTTCTTGAGAATCTATTTGAAAGCCTAAAAACTCGACTTGTTGGCTTGGATTTGGTTTGGATTTTTCCCAATTGATAACAAAACCTAGATTTATGAGGAGAAAAATAGTGCAATCTCTTGCCTCTATCAATTTTTCTTTTGAGTCTGCCATTAGTAGGATGTCGTCTAGGTAAATAATCAGACGAATCCCTATTTTTCGAAGTAACCCTACAATTGGTTTCATTAATTTTGTATAAATTCTTGGTGCACTGGCCAGACCGAATGGAAGGCATGTAAATTGGTAAATTTTGTCGTCCCAAAGAAATTTTAGATATTTTCTGTGTTCCTCGTAAATGTTTGTGGTCAAATATGCGTCTTTCAGATCTATTTTGCACATCCATTCCCCCTTTTTTAGCAGGTCCCGTACCATGTATAAACCTTCCATTTTGAAGTGTTCGTATGTTATGAAGTCGTTTAATTTTTTCAAGTTTATCACTGGACGGTTTCCCCCGTCCTTTTTTGGAACCAGGAACATGTAACTTAAAAATTGGGTCTGTTCTTGGTGAACAGATTGTATTGCTCCTTTTTCTAGCAATTTCTGAATTTCCTGATTTAGAGAATCTTTTTGTTCTCTGTTGAACATCGGATATTGAGGAGGTTGCCTTTGTAATGGTAGGGTATTGAACTCTAGTTTGTAACCTTGAACTATTTGGAGAATAAAGTGATCTCCTGTTATTTTTTGCCAGTTTTTTAAAAACCATCTTAACCTTCCTGCTATGGGAAGGTTGCACTGAATTTGGGAAATTTGAAAGTTTTTGTCCAGGATTACTTTTGGTACATTTGTCTTGATTATTGAAAGTAAGTGATATGAATCTTGACTGTTTCTCATTACACTTGGATTTATCTCTAAGGGATACTGACCTTCTATATCCTCTACCTCTGTATGTACTACCATGTCCTCTTGCCATGCCTCTGCCCCCAGCTCCTCTCCCTCGTGCTGAGGGCCCATCTCGAAAGGGCGATTCTCTTTCTCTCCTTGGATTGGCATGTCTGTGTTTTGTACCATGACTTGCATGGCTTGATTCGTGGTTGTAATTGTAGTTCATGTGTTGATATCCCCCTCGTCTCTTTTTCTTGAAACCACCCTTCTTTTTTCTTCCTTTTTTAATACTGAAGGCGATTTTTGAGGCTTCTTCCCAGGTCTTACTCGACTTTTTGAGGACTTTTTTGAAGCCTTCCCCAAATAGACAATTTCCACTTTGAGAGATTACATCCTCGTTTTTGTCCAAAAGTTCTTTGGCTTTTTTGTAATCCTCGGTCATTTTCAGTAAAGTGTTTACTCGTCTATGCCGATCTACAGCTAGACTTGCCTGACCAACACAACATACAGTCTTTTCAACTAATTGACACATGTGTGCTATGTCAACATTATCCACTGTTGGGTTTTCTTTGGAATGTTCTCTAATGGAATCCGACATCTCCCATAGTTGCGAGAGTGGGCCCATTATTCTAAAGATACGTTTTTGGACACCTTGAATGCCCTTTTCAGCGCCTCGATCTAAATTGGCATTTAATTTGTCCATTATAGGATAGACATACTCGTCTATTTGTTTACACTGAAAGTGTGGATCGTCGGGGATCGGAGCATGCTCCAGAATTTTCTTTTCGACAATTTCGTCTTTCACGAAGGTTGAAAATTGTGCTTTGGCATATTTCAAGCGTTCTTTTGACAATATCGCCTTACCCGCTGAACTACTTGCAGTCGGATTGAAACGTTCATATGTAGTGACGGCGGATACAGTTTCGGAACAAACACTTCTTTTTGTTCTCGAAGACGAGTCTGTATCACTTTCAGTTTCACTGTCTGATTCACTGCTACTTGAATCAGACGAACTTTCCGACGAACTGTCTGAGGAACTTACAACTCGTCTTCTTTTTCTACCCTTGTTCTTACTAGAACTTGTAGGGGACGCGGCCGATCGACTACTTGGATCGCCATCTTGGACGCTATCGTCCGATAAGTCTGCCCGACTTTCAGCTGCGTGTATACTAACACGATCAGCCATTAGCAAAAGTTTATTTTGCAAATAAATAAGTGAATTAATATAAATATAAAAATTCCACTGATATATAAAAAGTTACCGAGAATACGGTGAATACAAAGCGTTGTCTGATAGTTGATGATGCTGCGAGCGAGGAAAGTTGGAGAATGAAACCAAATCTTTGGAACAAAGCTTTTAAAGAGCTACGGTGCTGCCATCTATCGACGGCCAAGGGGAGTAAACACTAGAATATCTTGTCGGAGGTTATGAAATAAAATTATGACCATATCAACGATAATTCATGTCAACACAGAAGTGCTGACTACTGGGCTGGTGATACACTCGGGGAGGTAACTTCCACCAGCAGTGGCATCGACCCAGTGGTTGTAAATAAACTCATCGTTGATACCAGGATTCAAATTTTCTTCGCCACATATGCGTTTCATCAATAACGCTCGAATCAAAAAAATTTAAAAGGCCAAATAAAGTACGAGGTTGAAAAGCATTGAGGACCCAAAATTCCGAAAGGTTTTGACAAATACAGCTAAGGTAATCTATTCCTGGGGTAGACAATATATAGAATTTCGAGAAATATCAAAATTGTGAAAAAAATGCAAATTGGGAATCTTATAGAAAACAAAAAAAATTGGTTACTAAAACAAAAAAGAAATCCATTATTCAGAAACTTTTTCATGGAAAGATGTGGGAGAAGTACCAAGCAGCAAGGATTTTTGGCCAACAGTCAAGCCCTTCTTAACCAATAAAGGGTAACATTTTTCAAAAGCTCTAATCTTATGTGAAGGCAACAAAATAATTGATAATCAAAATGAAGCTTCTGAAATATTGAATAATTTTTTTTTATAAATGTTGCCAATGATATCGGCTCAAAAGATACAATTATTGATAACCACCATCCAAGCATTAAAGTAATTAAAGAAAACAAACCAGAAAAAGAACTATATTTTAGCCCAGTAAATTTTGAACTTGTAAAAAACGTTACAAATCAATATAAAATTAATACTAAAAAGGCAACAGGAAAAGATGGAATTTCTTCAAAAATATTAAAACTATCTGAAGCTGAACTATCCTATTCAAATCTAGATAAATAAATAAATCATTTGAATCAGATGTTTTCCCAGACAAACTATAGGAAGCGCAAGTTATAGCTTTACTTAAAAAATCAAACAACTAAATATAGACCTGTAAGTATTAAAATAAATTGAGAGGTCTACAGAAACTCAACTTGTTAATTATTTTACCTAATTCTTTTAACATTTTTCTGTCTGCTTTTCGAAAAGGATACAGATGTCAAACATATAATAAAAATAATTGAAGACTGGAAAAAGGATTTAGATCAGAACAAATATGTAGCAGCTAAATTAATGGACTTGTCCAAGGCTTTGGTTGCCTATCCCATGACCTCCTTCTACTAAAATTAAAATTTTAGGGTGTCTCTGCCTCTTCTCTTAAACTTTTGGCGAGTTATTTAACTTTTAGAAAACAGTGTGTTAAAGTAGGTTATAATTCAAGCTTCTGGCAATCAATGTTTAATGTGGTACCACAAGGTCTATATTGGGGCCGATATCATTTAATACTTTTTTAAATGACATTTTCTACTTTATTCATAGAATTGAACTCTACAATTATGCAAATGACAACACCATTTCCTACGCAGATAATGACCTAGATAAATTGATTAATACTCTTGAAGATGAAAGCAAAAATTATGATTTTTCAACCCTGTATACCACCATTCCCCATGTTGAATTGAAAAATCGTCTAAAAGAAATAATCCACAATGCTTTTCAATATAAAAATGGTAGCATTCGCTATAAATTTATTGCTTTGGGATACCATACGGCGTATTTTCTTAATAGTGAACAAAAAGGTAAAACATGCTACACAGAGGAACAGGTGATCAGTATGCTGGAGTTTCTTATTGACAACGTATTTGTTGAATTTTGAGGTAGACTTTTTCAACAAATTGTCGACATTCCTATGGGAACGAGCTGTGCGCCTCTCCTTCTTATTTTCATATGAGTCGGAGTTCCTTTACCCTTTAGGACCACCTGATTCTACCCCTGGTTTTAGTTGGGTTTATGTCTTTTTTTTTCTTTGTAGTGTTTTTTGTCTTTTCGTCGTATTTCGTTTTTTTGCCTTGCATTGCCAGCTTCCTCTTTGATGAATGAATATCCATTTGTATGGAACGTTTTATCAATTAATGTTATATCTATCCATATTACGAATTGACGAATCATCATTACGAGATAACAAAAACCACATCATGTAATGAAACAACTACACTACAAAGAAAATAAAAAATGGTGTCACCGAACTTGTTTTCTTGCTACAAGTAAAATAAAAAAAATTCATTAACATTCCTTTTAAAAATTTTACTAAAAGAGTGATCTCCCTTATATTGATAAGTTGAAAAGTTGAATCGAACAAAACAAATATGTAGTATTTTTTAAAACGGTCTACATACTGCAATAAATCAATTATTTTTCTTTATTCAAATAAACAATCTTACACGTTAATTGCCAATCTCTATCCAAACTTGCAGATTTTAGTAAAGAACTAGACCGTTTTAGTACTGTTATTTACAATCCAAGACGGCGGTATGTACAGTTAATCTACCTTAAGAAATGCCGATACCACATTGAGTGATGATAAAAAAAAAGTGATGTCAAAACAAAAAAACTCAATTTTGCCATTTTTTGAAATTATCATCGTATAAATACCTTAACTGAGAAATAATTTCGATATATAAGCATAACATAGGACAAACATGCCAGTGAATCTAATACTTAACACTCCATTTGTAATATTTGTAGAGCATATTGTATCATTTTCGATACACTTAACAAATCAATTGTGACCAGCCATTTTTTTTGTTATCCTACAGCACAATTAGGTTAACTTCATATAGAGAATGTGTTGCTTACTTCAATTAGCAAGTAATTCGGTCCCAATATATCACTTTGTACAAGAAATTTAAATAAAGTACCACCACAGAAGAACTTCAAACCCACATCCAACTCAAAACTGAAAACAAAACATCAACAAGACTACAAATCCGCCAACATCAAAGTAAAAATATACACCAGTAGTACTTTCGGACAGTAAAGGGAAATGGCTAAAAAGAAAAGTTACAACATCAAACCTCTTTGAAAATTCAACATGGTGGAATGAAAGGGGTGCAAAAAGCAAAAACAGATTTGAATTGCTAGGAAAAAACACCAGACACAAAATAAGTATATTGGGTCCTATCTGGACATATGTTTGATTAAGTACTTGCAATCTTACCACATACAACAAAAAATACATATCAAAATCATTCCATGGACTGATGCCGTTGAAAAGTTGTCGAATTCTATCGTAAATCCATAGAACTTATTAAACAATGCAGACAGCGTAACCATACTAGAAACTCCAGTATATTCAATACACCATTGGAATAAAGGCAAAAATCATAAAACACCAAACGACTTCAAATCTTCAAATCCCAAGATAAAGAACTGGAAGAACAAGTTAAAATATTAAACAACGAAGTGAAAGATATAAACACAGAAATCAACAGTCAAACGCCAAAATTTTGGAACGACCTACAAGTCAAATCCCATATACAAAAAGGAGCTCATCAAAACTGAAAGAGACCACTGCAATTTATATGTAGATGGAAGACATTCAAACAACCTTCTGGTTTGCAGTTGGCAAAAAAAAAGTCAAAGATCAGGCTCAACTTGAGATTGTTGGTAGTATTCGCAGTTCGAGTTCAGTACTGGCTCTTCCGCGCATCACGTTTGAATCAATATCATCAAGCACATTTAGCCCGTTAAAACCAGCAGCGCTAAAATCAAAACACAATCAACAACCAGTCAGACACCCAAAAATAAGAGCAGATCACATCATAGCAACATCTTTAACTTACCAGAAAAACGAAACCTGAGAATATGATCTATTAAGTGCAGAAGCATAAAAGATAAAACATCAGAGTCCAAGCAGCAGTAAGCTACATGGTACAGAAAAATTGGTACCGTTAATGTCAAACCCGACAAAATTTGTGGAACAGAATCATGGTTAAAAGGAGAACAACCTGGAATTGGTAAAATTATTAAACATGGCAACATCCAAAAACACCAACATCATGTTGACAGGAGACTTAACTGTCCAGATATAAACTGAGAAACAACTACAGTAAACTCAAACGCAAATGATAAAGAAATCCAAACCAAACTCATGGAGCGAACAGCAGCATTTCAACTTACCCAAATCCATGAACTAACAACAAGAGAGAACAACCTTCTTGACGTAGTGCTAACTTTAAATATATCTCTATATGTCACTATGTCATACTATCAACGCAGTAAATCAAAACAAGTCTATTCAAAAGCAAACTGGGAGACATTAAATGAAGACATCAACAAAACATCTATAAGGATAAAACAGATGTACACGCAAGGTTCCAACGTCCGAGAAGTGAGTGACACATTCAAATTAGTATTATTCAAAAGCATAAACAAACACATGCCATCCAAAGAAATCTGCTAAAAAAAATATATTATAATTGTATAACACAGGATAGTTATTTAAAAAGAAAAGCAGACTGTATAACACAGGATAGTTATTTAAAAAGAAAAGCAGACTGTATAACACAGGATAGTTATTTAAAAAGAAAAGCAGACTATACCAACAAGCAAAGCCCACAAGAAACATGGCCAACTATAGACACTTTCAAAAAG